TCAAGAGGCTTTTCCATTGGAGCTGACTCCATGTGTGTTGTGGGCAGCTGTGCAAGGGAGCAGAGGCCGAAGGGGAGTGGCAGCAGGGGAGGGGTGAGCCAGGACTTTGGGGTCTTGAGTTGTGGAAAATGCTGAGGGGTGAGGCCAGTTCTCTTGGAGCATTTCCCTTGAGGAAATGGTGCTTGGCTGAGCTGTGTGTCTGCTCTGTGCCAGTGACTCGGCCTGGGCATGAGGGGAGAGCTGTGGCTGCTGTTGGACACAACCCTTTTGTGAAGCCTTTGAGGCTCCTTCCCCTCCCATGCTCCTGGAGCAACTAAGCAAATCCAGGTTGCCTGAGACAGCAGTGAGAGAGTGGCTGTGGGTCTGGGCCCAGAGGCTGGGGATCAGTGGCCCAAAATTCAAATTGAAGCAAATCGCAAGGGAAGTAGGTCAAGAGTTGTAGCCATGAGGCCAACCCTGTTCAACATCCTCAACAATGACGTGGGCAGTGGGACTGTTGTCCCCTCAGTGAGCTGGCAGAAGATGGAGTGGCTGAGGAATCATTTGGCTGTTCCACCAGTCAGAGGGAGATGGGGACTGAGGGTTAAAGGCCTCTCCTGAAGTTCTGGAGGGGAAAATGTGAAGTTCTGCATCTGGGCAGGAATGGGAGTGGGCCCCAGGTCATGCTGGGGGCTGAGAGGCTGGGTAGGAGCTTTGCAGAGCAGGATCCTGTGGTGCTGCTGGAGAACAAAGGGACCACAAAATCTCAATGCTTTCCTTCCTGACAAAGGCATCACCAGTATCCAAGATAGATTTCGGGCAATTCTTGCCCTGAAATTGGGAGAAGTGACCTTTCCTTTCTTTAGAGCACTGGTGGGGTCCTGTGTGGGGTGGTGTGGGCAGTTCTGGGCTCTCCAGGGAAAGAAGCACAAGGGCTTAGTGAAACAAGACCAGAGCGGGATGACCGAGATGCTGAAAGGGCAGGAGAATCATTTCTAGAGGGCAGAGAGAGCTGGGACTCCCAGGAGACAAGGCAGATCCCCAACGGCAGGAAATGAAATCGATGAAACCTGGCTATTCTCAACAGAGCACACAGGAGAAGGAAAGAGAGGAAAGGAAGAAAGGAAAACAGATGGAATTCCATGGGGAAAGAAGGCGAGAAGTTTTGAGTGTGAGAGTGGTCTCCGAGTGGAAAATCTGGTGAAGTCTCTGGTGGGACAACCAAAATTGAGCTGGCTGTGGTCCTGGAAATGCTGCCCTTGCTGACTTTCCTTGAGGAGAGGGAAATGAAGCCTTTATATTCCAGAGTTCATGCCCTAGTGGATGATGTTGTTCCTCCTGTTTGCTGGGTGGGTTCAAGAGCCCTGATGGGGAAGAGAGATTTTCAGCTGTGTGCTGGCACAGACAGATTCTACCAGAGCCGTGAGCAGGAGAGCATGGATGTGCCAAAACCTTTGGGACAGGGGGTTCTAGGTTTGTGCCATGTTTTGGAAAGTGTGCCCTCACCCCCTGCATCCAGTGCCTGTCTTGGTTATTGCTGGTGGTGACATCTTACCTAAGGGAGTTGTTCTGCTTCTTTTCCATCCACGCCAAGGGCCTACCTGGCATTTTACTGGGTGAGGATATGAAACCATAAGAATTGAAAAAGATGAGGAAACATCTCAGACTTCGATGCAGGAAAACTTTATTGAGGGGGAAAAAAATGGAGACAGGAGAAAGACTAGAAGGAATCCAGTGTGAGACACAAGTCGGGTGACGATCAGCTGAGGTGCTTTGCTTGCAGGAGCTGTTGTCAGAGGACTGAGCTGGTGATGTCAGGAGTGGTGCTGAGGACCCTCAGCAGTTGTAGCGGCCCCTTCTGCCGTAGCAGCCCAGCCCATAGCCATAGCCCTGCCCGTAGCCAAATCCACAGCCATAGCCAAACCCACGGCCGTAGCCAAGGCCGTAGCCAAAGCCACCAAATCCACCAGAGATGGGCTGTCCCTGCACACTGAGCTCAGTGCCCACGGCAGCCGAGGAGGTGGATCCGACGGCGGTGTTCTGGGGGAAGGAGGTCATGATGGGTCCTGGCAGGGTGACCAGCACGGGAGAAGGGTTGATGATGACGCGGGAATCCTGGCATTGCAGGGCACAGGGCTCGTTGCAGCTGTTGGCCAGTGGGGTGGGTCCGCAGGGCTGGCAGAGGGTGTTGCAGGCCATGGGTGTGGTGTGGAGGGTGCCTGGAAGAGAGGGGGTGAGGCAGGAAAGGGGTGTGAGGGTGTGATCAGCAGTGATGTAGAAAGTTAAAAGAGTGTGGAGGGTATTTTGGGGCTGTGGGGAGGCGTGAGGGCTGCTGAGGCTGGGGCTGAGCGTGCTGGAAGAGAGGGGTCAGGGGAGCAGAAGCAGGAGGGTCAGGGGATTGAGACTCACCTGGTTGTCGGCAGGAGGAGGAGAAGGCGTGAAGAGAAGTGTGTGAGGGACGGAGGCTGTGGTCCAGCTTTTATGCTGGTCCTGGAGGGGTGGGACAGCCTTGTCCCATGGCCTTGGGGCATTTTTAGGCAGCAGCTCTTTCCTTGCCCAGCCTGGTGAGTCATGAGGTGGGGAGTGTTTTCCTTTATGCAATTCTGCAATTCCATGTCCTAACCCTGAGGCTGTGTTCATCTGACCTTGGCAGCAGCTTTAATAATTTGGTATTTGGGTGGATTTGATTGTTCCAGGTGTGTCAGGGATGGGTGAATGGACAACCAAAGCCCTGAAGATCTGCGATGTCATCAGTGATGTCATTTTGTGGCACTCACGTGCTGTGGTCTGTGAGTGTCTTGTGAAGACTGGGACTCTTTTCCATGATGCTGCATGTCCATCAGTCATAGTGTTGCACTCAGGAATGCTGAGGGAGCTGCTGATGTCCTGGGGAGGTCACTCTGCAACAGCTTGGCAAGATTCCAGTGCCTGGGAGCTTCTCCTGTTGGATGAAAGAGCACTCATGGCCTTGTGTCTTGAATAGGATCGAGAGAGGGGACATTTAGAATGAGAGGCTGTTCAGGCTGAACTTATTCCAGTATTACAGCCCATTTGGATTTCTTCAATTCACATGACAATGTACTCTGCCATTTAAGCTGTATTACCTGACCTTGTTAAGAAATCCATTAAGGAAACAACAAACTGGGCTTGATCCCTTTTTTCTCAGGCTGTTTGTGACATCAATTAGTTTATTCCGCATACAAGCCACAAATTTCATAACTCATAACCTGTAATTGTTAGCATTGTGTTCCTGTAAGCAAATAGCTAATAATTACTAATTGACAATCTATGAGCTCCTCTGTCCTTGCCTGACACGGCGGGTACATGTCTTTGTGGAATTGTGCAATTCCATATCCTGCTCCTGAGGCCCTGTCCACCTGTGGTGGCAACTTTTAATTGCAAGTACTAAGAGGTCAAATTTTTCTGTTGGTGATTCATGTCAGGGAGGGCTGAAGACCTGACCCAAGCTTTGGAGAGGTGGGGTGTCATCACTGTGGTCACCCCATGGCCCTCAGGTGCTGTGGTTTGTGGGTGCCTTCTGAAAAATTACCCCAAATTTTGGGCTGAATGCCAAAGGCTGAGGCCACTTGTGATTGTCTGAATGAGGATTTGGAGGTTGACCGGGATTGTTGGAGGTGAGCATTTCATGATCCTCAACAACCCAGGCAAGTGCAGCTGGTGTCAGCACCAGTGTAGTGGACTGAGAAAGGTCTGAAGGGCTGGGCCCAGTGGTTTGTGGCCGGTGTCCCAAAATTCAGATGGCAGCAAGTCCCCAGTGCTGCAGCCCAGGAGTTGGATTCACTGGGCCAACACTGAAAATTTGATGGATTCTGGACATCTGCTGGACTTCAGCAAGGGCAGCTGCCAAGTGCTTTCTCATGGGAAAGGTATTCATCCCAAGTAGGAAGAAATACCTGTGTGTCACTTGGAACAATTGTTTTCTTCTCTGAAAACACCTTTGTGGTTCTGTGTTAGAAGGAATGGGATAGGAGGTGTCCCTGTATTGTGAGAAAAGGCATCTCCAGTGTCCGGGTCAGAACTGAGGAGAATTGTTGTGATAAGACAGGGAGAGAAGACTCCTGGTGTCTTCTGAGCACTGGTGAGGTCCCATGTGAGGTGGTGTGTGCAATTCTAGTCTCCCCAGTGTGAAAATGAAGTGAGTTTAGTGAATAGCAACCAGCTCAGAACCACCAAGATTCCAAAAGGGTTGGTGAATCATTCCTGGATGAGAAACTGGGAGAGCTGGGACACCCAGGGGACAAGGGTGGACAGGGAGGTGCCATCAGCGTGCACAAATTCCTGATTGCATAGAGTGAAGTGGAGGGAGCCCAGCTGTCCTGAGCAGAGCACATGTGTAGGACAAGAAGACAAGTGTAAGGGGAAAACAAATTGAATGCAATTGCTAAAGAAGGCAAGAATTTCTCATTTTGAGGGCGGTCACAGAATGGAAAAGGTGTTGGACTGTCAGTCTGGGGAGATCCAATACTGAACTGTCCATGGTGCTGGGAATCCTGCTCATGTTGTTCTTGCTTGAGCAGGGAAGCTGAAGCACTTGCACTCCAGATTTCCTGCCCAAGCAGAGGATTTCGGGACTCTCTTTGCTGGAAGAGTTCAAGAGTCTTGATGGGGAAGAGAGTTTGCCAAGTGTGTGTTGACACAGAATTATTTGACCAGGAGAGCATGGATGTGTCCAAGGCTTTGGTCTATCGGGTGTTGGGTTTCTGTAATGTTTTGGAAAGTGTCGTCTCCTGTGCTTCATTTGCCAGACTTTCTTATTAGTTGTTTTGACATATTTGTGAGGAAAGGTGTTGTTGCACATACCCCAGTGGCCTGTTGAGGTGTGGAATGTGCTTGGTAAGGATGTGAGACCACTGGAATTACAGAAGAACACGAGGCGTCTCAGGCTTTGATGCAAGAAAATTTTATTGAGGCACAAGAATGAAGAGACAGGAAAAAGGAAAAATTGGGATCCGGTGTGAGGAGCAAGCAGAGCAACCACGAGCTGAGGTGCTCTGCTTGCAGGAGCTGTTGCCAGATCCCAGAGCTGGTGGTGTCAGGGATGGTGCTGAGGACCCTCAGCAGTTGTAGCGGCCCCTTCTGCCGTAGCAGCCCAGCCCATAGCCATAGCCCTGCCCGTAGCCGAATCCACAGCCATAGCCAAACCCACGGCCATAGCCAAACCCATAGCCAAAGCCACCAAATCCACCAGAGATGGGCTGTCCCTGCACACTGAGCTCAGTGCCCACGGCAGCCGAGGAGGTGGATCCGACGGCGGTGTTCTGGGGGAAGGAGGTCATGATGGGTCCTGGCAGGGTGACCAGCACAGGGGAAGGGTCGATGATGACGCGGGAATCCTGGCATTGCAGGGCACAGGGCTCGTTGCAGCTGTTGGCCAGCGGGGTGGGTCCGCAGGGCTGGCAGAGGGTGTTGCAGGCCATGGGTGTGGTGTGGAGGGTGCCTGGAAGAGAAGGGGTGAGGCAGGGCAGGGATGTGAGGGGATGGTAGGCGAGGCAGTGTAGAGGGTGTTGTGGGGCTGTGGGGAGGCGTGAGGGCTGCTGAGGCTGGGGCTGAACCTGCTGGCAGAGAGGGGCCAGAGGTGCAGGAGCAGGAGGGTCAGGAGCTTGAGACTCACCTTGCTGTCTTCACAGGAGAAGGAGTCAGGAGAAGTGTGTGAGGGAGAGAGGTTCTGGGCTGTCTTTTATGCTGGTCCTGGAGGGGTGGGACAGCCTTGTCCCATGGCCTTGGGGCATTTTTTAGGCATCAGCCCTTGGCTGGCCCAGCTTGGTGAGTCATGAGTTGGGGAGTGTTTTCCTTCCTACACTCTTGCAATTTTGTGTTCTTTCCCTTGAGGCCGTGTCCATCTGACCTTGGCAGAACATCTTAACTGGAGGAATTGATGACCACTATCTCATTGTTTATGGTGTGTGTCAGGACATGTAAAATACTCAGCCGAATCTTAGGATAATTGGGGTGTTGTCAGTAAGGTCATACCATGGCATATTCATGACATCTCCCACTTGCATTCTCGCTTCCTGCCTGAAAGAACTCCCAGGTTTCTCATCTTGTCCTCGTTTTGAGGATACCCCATTCCTGTCAGTGTCATGGTGTTCCTGCAGCCCTCTTGGTCAACACCTCCATTTCCTTGTCCCACCAGTGAGCCCCAGCAGTGGTGGGGACCAGGACAGTCAAGACCTCAACAACACAACCCTCAACTTTCTATAGCTCAAGCACATGGGTTTCAAGGGTGGATTAATCAATGGATGGTGAACTGTGCTCCTCATGTGTCTTGTTGTCCTTATCCTTCAGCTTTTTTCCTTTCCAAGGGTCAGTCGCAGTCTAGCACTGGGACCCCACAGTGTGACCTTGCTGGTCACAGCTGAGATGAGCACTACGGATGAACCAACTCAAGACTTTGGGGAGCATGGGAGGCCATCCTAAATCACAGGGATTGCTTTCCCATCTCCAGCAGGAAAGGCTGGGAGTATAGACAGGCTCTGAAAGTTGGCCACATGGTGCGGATGGAGACAATATCATGGAAAGGACAGTTCCTCACAAGCAGTGTTCCTGCAAAGCCGGACAATCCTGACAGAGCTGGCCCCACTTCACAATGCACCCAAAAACCAGGGAACACCAGTGCCCTCAGTGAGGTCACCCCATCTCTCCAAGGCTTTGGACATGTCTTCAGCCCACCATGATACATGCCATCAACACCTGCCCTTAACCTCTAAGACACGAAAAATCTGCCACCAAGGTCAGATGGACATGGCCTCAAAAGAAGGACATGGAGCTGCAGAATTCCACAAAGGAATGCCCACACCATGACATAGGAGGATAGACAACTGTGCTGACCAACCATTAGTAATCACTGGGTTTTGCTAGACGGAACAGATTATTAAGACTAACAGGATATGAGATAGGAAACCTTATGGCTTGAATGCGGAATAAAAACAAGGACAACACAGTCCAACCTGGGAAAAAATGGATCAAGCTGGGCTGGGTTTTTGTTTAAGGGATTTCTAATGAGGTCAAGGAGTACACTTTAAATGACAGAATACAATGTCATGTAAAGATGAGAAGTCCAAATGGACCATGACACCAAAACAAGTTCAACTGGATCAGCCTCTGCTATTCCAGATGTTCTCTCTTGATTGAATTCAAGACAAGAGGCCATGAGCTGTCTTTCATCTGTAGGAACACTCCTACGCAATATAACATCTCCATGTTATTACAGAGTGAACTCCCCGGGACATCAGCAGCTCCCTCAGCATTCCTGGGTGACACAATGGCTGATGGACATCCAGTGGCACAGAACAGAGTCCCAGTCTTCACAAGGCACCCACAAAACACAGGACGTGTGCCACAAAATGACCTCACTGATAATATCACAACTCTGCTGGGCTCTGGTTGCTTATTCAGCCCTCCCTGACACACATGGAACAATCAAAACATCCCAAATGCCAACTCTCACTTTAAAGCTGCTGCCAAGCTCAGATGGACATGGCTTCAAGGACCGATCATGACACTGAAGAATTCTATGAAGGAAAACACTCTCCATGTCATCACTCACCAAGCTGGGCCAGGCAAGAGCTGCTGCCACAAAATGCCCCAAGGCCATGGGACAAAGCTGTCCCACCCCTCCAGGAGCAGCATAAAAGCCAGCCCAGAGCCTCTCTCCCTCACACACTTCTCTGCACACCTTCTCCTCCTGCTCCTGCTGACAACCAGGTGAGCCTCAAACCTCTGACCCTCTTGCACCCCTGGCCCCTCTCTGCCAGCACGTTCAGCCCCAGCTTCAGCAGCTCTCATGCCTCCCCACAGCCCCACAACAGCCTCCACATTCCCTCACCATTTTGCATCACATCCTCCGTCCCTCACACCCCCACACCCCTGCCCTGCCTCACCCCTGTCTCTTCCAGGACCCTCCACACCACACCCATGGCCTGCAACACCCTCTGCCAGCCCTGCGGACCCACCCCGCTGGCCAACAGCTGCAACGAGCCCTGTGCCCTGCAATGCCAGGATTCCCGCGTCATCATCAACCCTTCCCCTGTGCTGGTCACCCTGCCAGGACCCATCATGACCTCCTTCCCCCAGAACACCGCCGTCGGATCCACCTCCTCGGCTGCCGTGGGCACTGAGCTCAGTGTGCAGGGACAGCCCATCTCTGGTGGATTTGGTGGCTTTGGCTACGGCCTTGGCTACGGCCGTGGGTTTGGCTATGGGCTGGGAGGCCTGGGCTGCTACGGCAGAAGGGGCTATGGCTACAACTGCTGAGGGCCCTCAGCACCACTCCTGACACCAACCACCCACTCTCTGGAACACACCCCAGGTGTTGCAGCCACGTCTCTGGGCCAAAGCTGTCCTCCAGCTCAGCACTTCCAGCTTCTGCTCTCAGGCCAAGGCAGTAGCCAAGGGGCCAGCCCGGGCTGCCTGCAGACATGGCCCATCTGCCTCCTGGTCTTCTCTCCCTCTCTTTTGGCTCTGTCCAGCTCCATCTGCTGCATATCTCTTCTCCCAAGCCAGAGATATGCAGAACATTCACCATCAGGTGTTTCTACTGCGGAGCAGGAAGGCTTTGATGCTCTGTCTGACCTACCAGCAAGCAAAGGATCTTGGCTGATGGTCGCCCTACTTACGCCTCAGACCAGCTCCCTTCCCCTTGCCACTCATGACCTCTCACTCTTTTTTTGCCTCAATAAAATTCTCTTTCACTGCAGCATTGTTATGTCTCCTTTTCCTTCACAGGCACACAGTGGCACAGTTTCCTCTCCCAATGCATGCCACAAACCCTTCACTTGTGTGATCCTACGCCTGGATACACCAGGCAGATTTATCCCTGCCTCTGACACAAGCCCATCTGGGCCACGTTTTTACATTGACTACACAGCTATTGCTCCAGTCCCTCATTGTTTCTTTAGCCCATATACATATCCACGTGAGCAGGTCCTTACCCTTGTGTTCTGTTCTTTTAAAAGTTTTAAAGTGGTTTAAAAAGTTTTCTCTGATTTTAAATGTTTATATGTTTTTACTAGAGTTTTTACACGCTCTCTATGTAAATAATGATTGTTTTACATTTTTCTTTGTGGGAGGAGAGAATTGATAGACTGTTAGTTTAACTCGTGTAGTTAGAGAAGTAGTAATTTCATCTTCTAATCTATGGTGAATTTTAGAATTCTATATATTGTGAGGTTAGATATAAAAGTTACTTCCTTTTATTCTTTTAATCTTAGTGTAAGTGCGTGAGTTATTTTGTGTCGTAGTGCGACACCCTTGAGGCCCCAGAGCTGAGCACAGGACTCCAATCTCACCAGAGCAGAGCAGAACAGAGGGTCAGAATTCCCTCCTCACCTGCTGCCCACACTGTGGCATGAGCCCATGGCATGGGCAGTTTCGTTTTGGCGTGTTCACATGGCCAGGGCATGTCCAATTCCTCATCCACCGACATCTCAAGTCCTTCTCCTTGAGGATGCTCCTAATCAACTCATTAGCCATCCAATATCCATTACTGAGATTGCTCCAATTCAGATTTAGGACGTTGCACTTCGTCCTGCTGACCCTCATGACAATCACACCACCCCAGCCTGTCAAGATCTCTCTGGATGCCATCCCTGCCCTCCAGACAAGCAACCACACCGCTCACCTTGCTGTCATTCCCATTTTTCCTCAGGGGACACTCAGTTGCACTGTCCCTGTGCCTGACAAAATGGGAAGTGACAATGGTCCCAATACGAGCCTCTGTAGGTCACCACTCATTCCTGTTCTCACAGACATGGAGCTGTTGACCACAACTCTGTGAGTGAGATCATCCTGTCCATTTTGCACCCCACAGCTGATGCTCCAGCTGTCAACTCCACATCTGTCCAGGTCAGAGATAAGGATGTTGTCTGCCTGTTCCAGTTGAACAGGAGGAAATGCTTTGCACAAGTCCATGTACATGATATCAGTTGCTCTTCCATCATTCACCAGTGTTGGAACCCCATCAAGCTTTTCAGGAAGAATTTATCCTTCATGAAAATGCGAGCAGCAGCAGGGAAGGGGTGAGCCAGAACTCTGGGGTCTTGAGTTGTGGCAAATGTTGAGAGGTGAGGCCAGTTCTCTTGGAGGATTTTCCTTGAGGAAATGGTGCTTGGCTGAGCTCTGTGTCTGCTCTGTGCCAGTGCCTCAGCCTGGGCATGAGGGGAGAGCTGTGGCTGCTGTTGGACTCAACCCTTTTGTGAAGCCTTTGAGGCTCCTTCCCAGTCTACACTCTCAGAGCAGCTGAGCAGGTCCAGGTTGCCTGAGAGGGCAGTGAGTGGCCTGAGAGTGGATGAGAGGCTGGCCCAGAGGCTGGGGATCAGTGGCACGAAGTGCAAATGAAAATGAGTCCCCAGTACTGCAGTCCAGGAGTCGGATCCATGGGGTCAGCTCTGCTCAACATCCTAAATAATGAGCTTGGCGGTGTTGTCCCCTCAGACACATAACAATCTCAGTAATGAGTAATAGATATGTTATGAATTGATTGAAAGCATGCCCAAGGAGGACTTGGGGTGTTGGTGGATGAAGAATTGGACATGCCCTGGCCATATGCACTCACAGACCTAAACCCCTCCGTGTCCTGGGCTCATCGCCACAGCATGAGCAGCTGGTGAGGGGACAACTCTGACCCTCTGCTCTGCTCTTCAGAGGCTGGAGATGTGTGTGCAACTCTGGGCACCTGAGGATGCGGAAGATACGGACGTGCTGAAGCAGAGCTGTAGATGGCCCTGGAAGATGATGAGGGTGTGGAGTAACTGGTGTCCAGCCAAAGTAAAAACAAGACTCATACACAGCTTCTATAAGAGGCAGGGATAGACCTGCATTAGCATATCCAGGCCTGGGATAAAACAAGTGAGGGGTTTGTAGGATGCTAGAGAAAGGCAAAGTGTGCCAGTGTGTGTCAGTGAAAGAAAGCAGACATCTGAGGCTGTAATGCAAGGAATTTTATTGAGCTAACACAACAGTGAAAGTCATGAGCATCCACTGGAAGAGAGCAGCGCAAGTAGGAGGTGCAAGTAGGGCGACAATCAGCTGAGCTCCTTTGCTTGCAGATGTTTGGCCAGAGCATCAAGACCGTCCTACCCCACAGTGGGAGCAGCCCCACGGAGGTACCCAATGGTTGCTGGCTTGAGAGAAGCAGAGCAGAAGGGGTGATGACAGAGCCGAAAGGGCGATGCAGAGCAGGGAGTGGAAGAAGAGAAGGAAGAGAGACAGGCCATGTTTGCAGGCAAAGAGAGATAGGCCATGTTTGCAGGCAGTCTGAGCTGGCCCCTTGGCTACTGCCTTGCTTGGTACCCTCAGAGCAGGAGCTGGAAGTGCTGAACACCTTTGACAACCTTTGCCCAGAGATGCATCTTCAATGCCTGGGGTGTGTTCCAGAGAGTGGGTGGTTGCTGTCAGGAGTGGTGCCAAGGAGGGACCTTAGCAGTTGTAGCCATATCCCCTTCTGCCATAGCAGCCCAGGCCTCCCAGCCCATAGCCAAACCCACGGCCGTAGCCAAGGCCGTAGCCAAAGCCACCAAATCCACCAGAGATGGGCTGTCCCTGCACACTGAGCTCAGTGCCCACGGCAGCCGAGGAGGTGGATCCGACGGCGGTGTTCTGGGGGAAGGAGGTCATGATGGGTCCTGGCAGGGTGACCAGCACGGGAGAAGGCTGGATAACGACGCGGGAATCCTGGCATTGCAGGGCACAGGGCTCGTTGCAGCTGTTGGCCAGCGGGGTGGGTCCGCAGGTGGATCCGCAGCGGGTGTTGCAGGCCATGGGTGCGGTGTGGAGGGTCCTGGAAGAGAAGGGGTAGTCAGGGTAGAGGTGTGGGGGTGCAAGGGACAGTGATGCAGGAGAGCGAGGGAGTGTGGAAGCTGGTGCGGGGCTGTGGGGAGGCGTGAGAGCTGCTGAAGCTGGGGCTGAGTGTGCTGCAGAGAGGGGCCAGGGGTGCAAGAAGGTCAGGGGATTGAGGCTCACCTGGTTGTTGGTGCAGGAGCAGGAGCAGAAGGCGTCAGGAGAAGTGTGTGCGGGAGAGAGGCTCTGGGCTGGCTTTTATGCTGGTCCTAGAGGGGCGGGACAACCTTGTCCCATGGCCTTGGGGTATTTTTTGGCAGCAGCTCTTGCCTGGCCCAGCTTGGTGAGTCATTAGGTGGGGAGTGTTTCCCTCCATGGAATTCTGCAATGTCATGTCATGCCATTGAGGCCGTGTCCATCTGACCTTAGTCACAACCTTTGAGTGAGAATTGGTCTTTGGGAGGATTTGATTGTTAAATATAACCTAACAATCTTTTAAGGCTGAATAAACAAGCAGAGACCAGCAGATGTGCAATGTCATCAGTGGGGTCATTTTGTGACCCTTGTGGGCTGTGGTTTGCCGGAGCCTTGTGAAGTCTGGGAATCTGTTTTGTGCCACTGGATGTCCATCACTCATTGTGTTTCTCCCAGGAATGCTGAGGGATGTCCTGGGAAGGTCACTTTGCAATTATTTGTCAAGTTCCCAGTGCCTGGCAGTTCCTCCTGACGGATGAAAGTGGGCTGTTGCTCTTGTGTCTTGAATGGGATCAAGAGAGGATCTTGGACAGTAGAGGCTGTTCAGACTAAACTTTTTCCAATCTTATATTCCATTTAGATTTCTAAAATTTACCCAACAAGCCACTCTATCATTTACAGCGTAATTCTTGACCTCATTTGGAAATCCAATAGCCAACAACAAATATGTGCCCATCCCTTTTTTCCCAGCCTGGTGTGACGCTGATTTGTTTATTCTGTGTTCAGGCCAAAGTTTCATAACTTATACCCTGTAAATGTAATGCTATGTTCTTATTAGCAAAAAAAGAGTAATTACTAATGGACAGTTAGTGAGTTGTTCTTTCCTTCTCTGTCATGGTTCTGGCATTCCTTTGTGTGATTCTGCGATTCCTCATCCTTCTCTTGAGGCCGAGTCCATCTGACCTTGGAGCCAGCTTTTAAACTGTGATTATTAGAAGTTAAATGTTGGTCATGATGGTTTATGTCAGGGTGGGTTGAAGACATGACCAAAGCTTTGTGGAGATGGGGGTGTCACCAGTGAGGTCACCCACGGCACTGGTGTGCTGTGTTTTTGTGTGCATGTGGTGAAGAGGGACCCATTTCCTCATCGAGCTTTTCACAGAATTCACAGAATAACTGGGTTGGAAGAGACCTTCAAGATCATCGAGCCCAACCCATGCCCTAACACCTCAACTAAACCAAGGCATCCAGTCTTATTTTAAGCACATCCAGTCTTATTTTAAACACACCCAGGAATGGTGACTCCACCACCTCCTCAGGCAGACCATTCCAGTATTTTATCACTCTTTCAGTGAAAAACTTTTTCCTAATTTTCAGTGATGCAGCTTGAGACTGTGTCCTCTGCTTCTGTCAGAACCTGGGGAAAGAGACCAACCCCCACCTGACTACAGCCACCTTTCAGGGAGTTGTAGAGAGTGATAAGGTCACCCCTGCGTCTCGTTTTCTCCAGGCTAAACAAGCCCAGCTCCCCTTTTTAAGCTGCTCTAAGCTTTGCAGGTGTTCTGGGGGTGAGCATCTGCCCTTTTGATCATGTTCTCTTCCCCCCTGCCTTGGCTACATCTCTCCAGGCTTGTCTGTATTCCTGGCCTTTGCCATTGGGGATGGGAAATCAATCCATATGACTTAGGGAGGTGTCTTGTCCTCCTCAAAGTCTTGTGTGGGTTCATCCGTAGCGCTCATCTCAGCTGGGCCCAGCAAGGTCACAATGTGGGGTCCCATTGCTGGGCTGTGACTGACACACGGAAAGGAAACTTCGTGGAGGATAAGGAGAAGAAGAAGCATGAGGGGAACAATTTCTGATCTATTGGTTAGTCAACCCTTCAAACCCATGTGTCCATTGTTTAGAGATAATGATGTCCTGTGGGATTGTTTTAAAGCCCTGATAGAATTCCAGGAACATGACACTGGTTTCCATTCCCTTGTCAAAAATAGCATTCGACCTTGTGATCCTGATGGAGCATAAACGGATCATGAGGTGGCCATGGACCCTCTGATGTAAAAAGCTCCAGCAGTTACCAGGAGAGAATTAGGAAATACGTAATAACAAAAGTAATATGAGGAAGATGAGGACGTCGAGCATCTTATCGTGCAGGACTGAGGGGGCTGAAGAGAGCAACAAGGACATGGACATGGCTGACCAAGAGCAGTGCCAGGAGACTGATAGGAGTAGAGTACCCTTACAAACAAGATGACAGAGCTGAGGGCTCTTTCAAGCAGGTGGAAAGAAAGCAAATGGGACATGCTGCCATTATGCCGTGGCATGTCCTCATCGATGACACATCAGTTGTTCTCAGGGTTGTTTGAATCTTCGATGTGTTCTGAAAGCCACCAGCAACAAGAAAATGGTCACTAATTCTTGCAATTAAAAGCTGCCGCCAAGGTCAGATGGACAGGCCTCAGGGTCAGCACATGGAATTGCAGAATTGCATAAAGGAAAACATTCCCCACCTCATGACTCACCAAGCTGGGCAAGGCAAGAGCTGCTGCCTAAAAAATGCCCCAAGGCCACAAGACAAGGCTGTCCCACCCCTCCAGAACCAGCATAAAAGCCGGCCCAGAGCCTCTCTCCCTCACACACTTCTCCTGACACCTTCTCCTCCTCCTCCTGCCGACAACCAGGTGAGTCTCAATCCCCTGAGCCTCCTGCTCCTGCACCCCTGGCCCTTCTCTTCCAACACGCTCAGCCCCAGCTTCAGCAGCTCTCACGCCTCCCCACAGCCCCACAACAGCCTCCACACTCCCTCACCTACCAGCCACTCACCCCCACCCTGCCTCACCCTCTCTTTTCCAGGCACCCTCCACACCACACCCATGGCCTGCAACACCCTCTGCCAGCCCTGCGGACCCACCCCGCTGGCCAACAGCTGCAACGAGCCCTGTGCCCTGCAATGCCAGGATTCCCGCGTCGTTATCCAGCCTTCTCCCGTGCTGGTCACCCTGCCAGGACCCATCATGACCTCCTTCCCCCAGAACACCGCCGTCGGATCCACCTCCTCGGCTGCCGTGGGCACTGAGCTCAGTGTGCAGGGACAGCCCATCTCTGGTGGATTTGGTGGCTTTGGCTACGGCCTTGGCTACGGCCGTGGGTTTGGCTATGGGCTGGGAGGCCTGGGCTGCTACGGCAGGAGGGGCTACGGCTACAACTGCTGAGAGGCCCTCCTCGACACCACTCCTGACACCAGCCACCCACTCCCAGGATCATATCTCAGGACACATCTCTGGACCAAAGCTTTCAAAGGGGCTCAGTGATTCCACCTCCTGCTCTCAGGCCACCGAGCAAAGCAGTAGCCAAGGGGACAGCCCGGGCTGCCTGCAAACATGGCCCATCTCCATTCCTGCTCTTTTCCCACTCCCTGCTCTGCATCGCCCCTTTAGCTCTGTCCAGCTCGCTCTGCTGCAAAACCCTTCTCCCAAGCCACAGACCATTGGGCACCTCCACCATCAGGTTGCTCCCACCTTGGGGCAGGAGGGCCCTGGTGCTCTGTCCAAACCATCTGCAAGAAAAGGCGTCTCGCTTGTTGGTTGTTTTTGTACCTCAGACTGGCCCCTTCCATGTATTGTTGATGACTTTCACTGTTCTTTATGCCTCAATAAAAAATCTTTTGCATTGCACACTGAGAAGTGTCCTCTTCCTTCATGGGTGCACACTGGCACTCTTTGCTCTTCCATTGCATCCCACAAACCCTTCACTTGCTTGATTCCAGGCCTGGATATGCTAATTCAAGTCTATCCCTGCTTCTGATATACTCGGTGTACTGGTCTTGTTTTCTCTTTGTCTGGACACAAGTTGCTCCAGACCTTCATCATCTTCCAGGGTCATCTACAGCTCTGCTTGAGCATGTCCATGTCTCCTGAATACACATTTCCAGTCTCTGAGGAGCAGAGCAGAGGGACAGAATTGTCCTCTCACTGCTACCTACGCTGTGGTGATGAGCTCAGGACATGGGGAGTTTCTGGTCTGTGAGTGTTCATGGCCAGGGCATGTTCAATTCTTCATCCACCAACATCCCAGGTCCTTCTCTGGGCTGCTCTCAACCCCTGCATTGTCCTACAGCCATGTTTGGCATTGCTCCAAACCACATGCAGGACCTTGCACTTGGCCTTGCTCAGCTTCATGAAACTGTCAACATCCCACTGCCCCAACCTGTTCCAGCCCCTCTGGATGCCATCCCTTCCCTCCAGACAACCAACCCCACTACTCAGCTTATTCTGGTCTCTGATTTTGCTGAACATCCCACTCAATCCCACCCTCCATGTCCCTGGCAAAGCTGGGAAATAATCCTGGTCCCAATAGGAGCTTCTGCCTGTCACCAGTCATTGCTTTTCTCCACACACGTGGAGCCACAACGGCTTGACTTAGACTGTCTTCTTTGAGTTAGACCATCCCATCCATTCCTTATCAACCACATTGTCCAACCACAACTCCACATCCTTCCAGAGTGAATATGCAGATGCCTTCTAGTACAGGAACAAATGCTATGCACAAGTCCAGGTACATGATATTATTCCCTCTCCCCTCATCTAACAAGGCTGGAACCAATACCGGCTCATTAAAAGATGCTACCAAGGTCAGACAAACACATCCCCAATAGCTGGACATGATACAGGAAAGCTGAGGGAAACAAAATACTTCCCACCTTATGATTTGCCAGAGATGATGCCTAGCAGGGATCTCAGAGACCCTGGAAAGAAGCCAAAAACATCTGTGGCTTTGATTTTAGCCCGTGGAAAGCTGTCAACTCTGTATGAGGAATTACAAGTCACAAGGGTTTTAGTAGTGTGATATTTGAACTAACATAGGGTGGAAAACTAGAACTTTGCGATTTTTAGAATGGGGTTCAAGGGGGTACAAGATGGAGGAATTTGGGCATGTCCTAGCCTTCTTCTTCTTTGTCTTGTCCTCCATGTCTTGGTGTGGTGGTGACACTTTTCTATTGGTTTAAAGTAGAGATTCACAGTCTAACACAGATGATAGGAATTGGTAAAGAGATTGTAAACATAGACACGTAGTTTTGAGTATATAATGTGGGAACCACCCAGGGCTCACGGCAGATGGCCATGGTGGACTTGCTAGCCAGAGCTCAGCAGGTCAGAGAAAGAATGTTTAGATAAGAAGAAATAAACAGCCTTGAAAGCTCAATCAGAAGCATTCCAGACTCCTCATTTGGCTGTGTTTGGGCTAAGGGAAGCAAAGACTCTTTATGATCTCTCTTGGGGAGATCACCCTGACCCTAGAACCCTGAGAGAGAAATCCACACAATGGGTGTCCAGCCAAGGGGAACAAAAAACCTGGAAGATGATGAGGGGGTTGTGTCAGAGACCGGGATAGATCTGCATTAGTGTACACAAGCCTGGGATTCAGTAGCTGAAAGCTTTATGGAATGCACTGGAAAAGCAAAGTGTGCCAGTGGGTAGTAGAACAGGGGAAGTAACACACAAAAGAGGTCTTGGAGCACTTTTTCACCCACCCCAGTGGTCTCTACAAGCCTGGTACAGTACTGAGCAGGGATTGGAAGAGTCTTGGGAGAAAAACGAAGAAGGACTCATCTGAAGTTATGATGCAGGAAAATTTTATTGAGGAAGAACAGTGAAAACTCAGGAGCAGGCAATGGAAGGAAGAAGGTCTGAGGTGCAAGCAGAGCGACCATCAGACGAGCTGCTCTGCGTGCAGGAGGTTGTGCCAGGCTTTCTGCCTGACGGAGGGAGCAGCCCAGCGGAGGTGTCTCATGGTCGCTGGCTTGGGAGAAGGGGTTTGCAGGAAAGGAGACTACACATACACAAAGGGGTGATGCAGAGCAGGGAATGGAGGAGGAGAAGGAGGGAGATGGGCCTGTTTTGCAGGCAGCTCCGGCTGGCCCTGTGGCTACTACCCTGCTTGGTGGCCAGAGAGCAGGGACTGGAAGTGCTGAACCAGTTTGAGAGCCTTGACACAGAGAGAGGCGTCCTCAATGCCTGAGATATGGTCCAGGGGGTGGCTGTGAGGAGTGGTGCTGAGGGCCCTCAGCAGTTGTAGCCATAACCCCTCCTGCCGTAGCAGCCCAGACCTCCCAGCCCGTAGCCAAACCCACGGCCGTAGCCAAAGCCACCAAATCCACCAGAGATGGGCTGTCCCTGGGCGTTGAGTTCGCTACCGACAGCAGCCGAGGAGGTGGATCCGACGGCGGTGTTCTGGGGGAAGGAGGTCATGATGGGTCCTGGCAGGGTGACCAGCACAGGGGAAGGGTTGATGATGACGCGGGAATCCTGGCATTGCAGGGCACAGGGCTCGTTGCAGCTGTTGGCCAGCGGGGTGGGTCCGCAGGGCTGGCAGAGGGTGTTGCAGGCCATGGGTGTGGTGTGGAGGGTCCTGGAAGAAAGAGGGGTGAGGTAGGACAGGGGTGTGGGGGTGTGAGGGACAGTGATGCAGGAGAGTGATGGAGTGTGGAGGCTGTTGTGGGGCTGTGGGGAGACGTGAGGGCTGCTGAAGCTGGGGCTGAGCGTGCTGGCAGAGAGGGGCCAGGGCTGCAGGAGCAGGAGGGTCAGGGGCTTGAGGCTCACCTGGTTATCGACAGGAGCAGGAGAAGGCGTCAGGAGAAGCGTGTGATGGAGAGAGGTGCTGGGCTGGTTTTTATGCTGGTCCTGGAGGGGTGGGACAGCCTTGTCTCATGGCTTTGGGGCATTTTTTAGGCAGGAGCTTTTGCTTGGCCCAGCCTGGTGAGTCATGAGTTGGGGAGTGTTTTCCTTCCCACAACTCTGCAGTGTCATATCCAGCTCTTGAGTCTGTGTCCATCTGACCTTGGCGGCAGCTTTTGGAGATGGAATTTGGGCGGATTTGATTCTTAGATGTGTGTCAGGGAGGGCTGAATAAACAGACAGGGCCCAGCAGAAATGCGATGTCATCAGTCATTTTTTGGCCTTCGTCTTCTGTGGTTTGTGGCTGCCCTGTGAAGACTGGGATCCTCTTGTGTGCAGCTGGATGTCTATTAATAATTGTGTTGCACCCAGGAAGCTCAAGGGAGCTGCTGATGCTCTGGGGAGGTCACTGAGCAATATCTTGGAAAGGTTCTGGTGCCTGGGAGCTGCTCCTGATTTCTGAAATAGAGCTTATTCTCTTGCGTCTTGTATGTGAGCAAGAGGGAGAATCTGGAAAACAGAGGCTGATTTGGCTGAATGTGGTCCATTGTTATGGTCCATTTGGATTTCTGAAATTTATTCAACCATGTACTCTGTCAATTAAAGTGTGTTCCTTGGGCTCATGAGGAAATCCTGTAAATAACAACAAGCCAGGCTTGATCCCTTTTTTCCCAAACTGATCTGTGACATCAATTCACTTATTCTGCATTCAAGCCACATGGTGTCATAACTTATAATCATAAGTCTTAATGTTTTGTTTCTATGAGCAAAACCCAATAATTAGTAATGGACAGCCAGCAAGCTCCTCTTTCCTTCTATGCCATGGTTTGGTTGCTCCTTTGTGGAATTGTGCAATTTCATGTTTTGCTCCTGAGGCCATCTCCACCTGACCTTGGTGATACTTTTTAGTTGCGAGAATTAGAGACCAAGGTGTTGTTGTTGATGATGCATGCCAGGACATGCACATGGCCAACGGCTGTCAGGACATGTAGAGGATTCAAGCAAAGCTTAAAAAGTTTGGCGTGTTGTCACTGAGGTCATCCCATGGCATATTGACAACATGTCCCATTTGCATTCTTGCCTCTTGCTTGGAAGAAATCCCAGCTCTCTCAGTTTCTCCTCATCTTAAGGATCTGCCACTCCCATCAGTGTCATGGTGTCCCTGAACTGCTCTTGGTCAACCATGTTCCTGTCCATGCGGCCTCACCGGTGACCAACCCCCTCAACCGCTTTTATTTCTGTTCCTAATCCTGTCCTGTTAACTGCTGGAGATTTTTAACTCAAGATCCATTTATGCTCCACCAGGAACAGAAGGTCCTTCCCTGCTGGAATGATTTGGTTGCCAAGGGAAGGGCAACTGGTGTCATCCTGAACTTCTGTCAGGGCTTTAACACGGTCTCAAGGAACATCTGTATCTCTGAACTTCAGGCACGTGGGTTCAAAGGTGGTCTGATGAATGGATGAGGAGCGGACAGAGAGTGATGGTCAGTGGCTCTCTGTGCGGGTGGAGACCAGTGATGAGGCCTCCAGGCCTCTGCCTTGTACTGGTGGTTTTGAATACCTTGATCAAGGAGATGAGCTGTGAGATTGAGACCACCCTCAGCATGTTTGCAGGTGCTGGGAAGCAGAGCAGTGCAGTTGACACAAGAACAATGAGGAATCCCATCAGGAGGGACACTGGGAAGGTTGAGACAATAAGAACCTCTTGTGGTTCAACAACTCCAAGTTCATGGTCCTGCACCTGGGCTGGGACAGTCCCAAACATGAGCACAACTTTGGAGAGGGAATCCTTAAGAGCAGTTCTACAGGGAATGACCTGAGGGTTCTGGTGGTCCAAAATCTTAAAAGGAAACAGCAACGTGAATTTTCAGCCCAGGCCACCAACCATTTCCTGGGATGCATAGAAAGAAGTGTGGCCAGTAGGAATAGCTGGGGGTTAATTTGAGACACGAGAATGTCATTATTGTCACCAATAGGTGACAAAATAGGGACCAAAATAGGGACACCAATAAAGACCAAAAAGTTCAAGAGATGGCCATGCATCCTTGCAGCAAAAGAACTTCTAGAAAAGGGTTTCTAGCAGATTGACAGTTCCTGTCTCCTGAGAGACAAGGATATCTGATTTGGGGTGATGTGCTGGGCTTTATAGTGGAAGAAAAACATAGATTTAATGAAGCAAGAAAGTGCTTGAACAGCAAAAGTTTGGGGGGACCAAAGAATCCTCATTGTGATTGGAAATGGGAGATGTGTGAGGTTTATTTTTGCAAGAAGGGAAGAATGGACAAAGGAGATGCTGTGAGTGTTCCATGGCATGACCTCAATCATAACACCCCAATTCTTGTAGGCTTTGTTGTCATCTTTTACATGCCTGACAGAAAGCAATAATATGGCCAATCTTTGTCCTCTACTCCTCAAAATTAAAAACTGCCACAAAGGTCAGATGGACAGAGCCTCTAGAGAAGGACGCAGGATCACAGAATTCCACAAAAACACACCGGTACCATGACAGAGGAGGAAATAGGATCACAATGACTGTCCAGTAGCAATTAGTGTTTTTTCCTAACAGGAACAAAATATTACAACTGACAGCATATAAGTTATGAAAACATATGTCTTGAATGCAGAATATGCAAATTCACGTCAGAGACCAGCCTGGGCAAAACGTGATCAAGCGTCATTGGTTACTTGTTTATTTGATTTCTTAAAGAGGTAAAGAAACACACTTTAGATGACAGAGTAGGTTTCCACGTAAAGTTGAGAAATCAAAATGGACCACACCACTGGAGCAAGTTCAACCTATGGAGGCTTTAATTTCTAGATCCTCTTTCTTGTTCCTACACAGGAAACAACTGTGTGGTGTCTCTTGCATCCATCTGGAAGAGCTCCCAGGCACGGGGACCTTTCCAGGGTCTTGCAGTGTGACCTCCCCAGGACATCAGCGGCTCCCTCAGCATTCCTGGGTGCAACACAATGACTGATGGACATCCAGTGGAGAAGAAGAATTCCAGTCTTTGCAAGGCACCCTCAAACCACAGGATGTGTCCCACAAAATTACCTTACTGATGACATCGCATTTCTGCTGGGCTCTGTTGTTTATTCAGCCCTCCCTGACTCACATCTAACAATCAAATCTTCCCAAATACAAATGCAATGAAGTTGCTGCCAAGGTCAGCTGGAAATGGTTTCAAGATCATGACACAGAATTGCAGACATGGAGGAAAACACTCCTCACCTCATGACTCCCTAAGCTGGCCCAGGCAAGAGCTGTTGCCTGCAAAATGCCCCAAGGCCATGGGATAAAGCTGTCCCACCCCTTCAGACCAGCATAAAAGCCGGCCCAGTGCCTCTGTCCCTCACACACTTCGGACACCTTCTCCTCCTGCTCCTGCCAACAACCAGGTGAGCCTCAAGCCCCTGACCCTCCTGCTCCTGCACCCCTGGCCCCTCTCTGCCAGCACGCTCAGCCCCAACCTCAGCAGCCCCACAGCTCACAACAGCCTCCACACTCCCTCATCCTGCCAACAACAGCTCTTACACCCCCACAACCCTGCCCTGCCTCACCCCCTCTCTTCCAGGGACCCTCCACACCACACCCATGGCCTGCAACACTCTCTGCCGACCCTGTGGACCCACCCCGCTGGCCAACAGCTGCAACGAGCCCTGTGCCCTGCAATGCCAGGATTCCCGCGTCATCATCAACCCTTCCCCTGTGCTGGTCACCCTGCCAGGACCCATCATGACCTCCTTCCCCCAGAACACCGCTGTCGGATCCACCTCCTCGGCTGCCGTGGGCACTGAGCTCAGTGTGCAGGGACAGCCCATCTCTGGTGGATTTGGTGGCTTTGGCTACGGCCTTGGCTACGGCCGTGGGTTTGGCTACGGGCTGGGAGGCCTGGGCTGCTATGGCAGGAGGGGCTGTGGCTACAACTGCTAAAAGGCCAGCCCAGGCTGCCTGCAAGCGTGGCTCATCCGCCTCCTCTTCTCCCTCTCCCTGCTCTGCATTGCCCCTTTGGCTCTGTCCAGTCCCCTCTGCTGCAAACACCTTCTCCCAGGCCGAAGGCCACTGGGCACCTCTAGTGCGCTGCTCCCACTGTGGGGCTGGAAGTCCTTGCTGCTCTGGAAAAACTGTCTGCAAGGAACGGATTTTGGCTGATGGTCACCCTCCTTGCACATCAGCCTGCTCTTTTCTACTGGGATGCTGATGATATTTCATTCTTCTACCTCAATAAAGTTTTCTTGCATCAGAGCCTCTGGTAACTCCTCATTCTTTCTTCTTCCCAGACGTTTCCAGTCTCACTCAGCACTAAGCCGGGATTGTAGATATCACTGGGGTTAAAAAGTGTACCAAGACCTCTTTTAGGATTTATTTTCCCAGTTCTACCATTCACTGGCATGCTTTGGTCTTCCAGTGCATCCCACAAACCTCTCTGTTTGTAGAACACAGGCCTGGATACACTACTGCAGGCACAAGCCCCTCCAGGTGGTTGCTTGCTTTGGGTGGACACCACTTGCTCCAGCCCATCATCATCTCCTCAGCCCACTAAGAGATCTGCTCCAGGAGGTCCATGTCTTTCTTATCACGGCCATGCATCCTTGCAGCAAAAGAACTTCTAGAAAAGGCTTTCTAGCAGACTGACACTTCCTGTCTCCTCAGATATAAGGATATCTGATTTGGGGTGATGTGCTGAGCTTTACAGTGGAAGAAAGACATGGATTTAATGAAGCAAGAAGAGGGTGGGAACAGCAAGAGTTTGAGGGGACCAAAGAATCCATGTTGTGATTAGAAATGGGAGGTGTGTGAGGTTTATTTATTATAGGAGCCCTACAGTTGAACACACAGTTCCAGTCTTGCCAGAGATGGGTGGAAGCTGTGAATTCCCTGCTCACCTGCTACTCGCGCTGTGGGGATGAGCACAGGACACAGGAGGTTTCTGGTCTGCAAGTGCACATGTTCAGGGCATGTCCAAATCTTTATCCACCAACACCCCAAATCCTTCCCCCTTGAGACTGCTCTCAATCCCCTCCTCACCCAGCCTTTATCCTGCATGTTTGGGATTGCTTCAATCCAGGTGCAGCAGATTCTGCCCCTCAGCTCCTCTCTGGTGACAGGGGAGAACTCTTAATCTATGAGTTATTGGGAATAAGGACAACAAGATCCTGGTTTGGAAGATCCAAAGCCCAGTCTTTGAGGATAATCTATGGCTGGAGGTTTGGGACAGCCTTGGCTGGTTATCCCAGGGCAATTTTTCAGGCAGCAGCTTTTGCCAGGCAGAGCCTGGCAAATCATAAAGTGGGAGGGTTTTTCTTCCCACAGCTTTGCATTATCATGTCCTGCTCTTGAGGCCGTGTCCATCTGAATTTGGCAGCAGAATTGATGAGTTTGTATTGGCTCCAGCATTGCTGGATGAGGGAAGAAGGACCGATAACATGTATCTGGACTTGTGCACAGTCTTTGTTCCTCTGCCAGAAAACATCCTTGTCTCTAACCTGGAGAGATGTGGATGTTGGTTGGATGTGGGTGTGGATGTTTATTTGGTTAGGAAGGAAATGGGTGGGATGGTCTCACTGAGAGAGTTATGAAGGAATCAATGGCTCCGTGTGTGTGTGGAGAACAGGGATGAGTGGTGGGCTTCAGACTCGTGTTCAACCATTATCACTTCGCATCTCTGTCAGGGTCATGGAGCGTACAGTTGTGTATCCCAAAGATATAATGTGAATAACAGTCAGCTGAGTGGTGTGGTTGATCGTCTGGAAGAAGGGAATGGCATCCAGAAGGTTCTGGACAGCCTGGAGAGATGGGATGGTGAGAAGCTCAAGAAGGTCAACAGGGCCAAGAGGAAGGTTTTGCACCTGGATTGGATCAATTTCAATAATGGATGTTGGATGGGTAATGAGCTAATTAACAGCATCCCTGAGGAGAGGTACTTGGAGTGTTGGTGGATGAAGAATTGGATGTGTCCTGGCCACGTGAATGAGCTGAGCAAAAGTCCCCCATGTCCTGGGGTTATCACCCCACGGCCTGGGCAGCACATTCTGCCCTTCTGCTGCACTCTGATGAGGCTGGACTTGTGTGTCCCACTCCGACGACACAAAAAAAAGGGAAGACGTGGGCCTCCTCCAGCAGATCTGGGAATGGCTTTAGGAGATGATGAGGGTCTGGAGGAACTGGTGCCCAGCCAAAGTGAGCACACCAGCCAGGACGGCCTTGTGGCAGAGTCACGGACAGACCTGCATTGGTGCATCCAAGCATATGATCAAGCATCTGAAAAGTTGCTGTGGGGCAATGGAAGAGCAAAGTGTACCAGTGGGTAATGGAATTGGGGAAATAATTCCTAAAAGAGGTCTTGGAGCACTTTTCCAACAATCCCAACAGCCCCAAGAGCATTGGCTTAGTCTCAAAGTGTCTAAGGAGAAGAAAGAAGAGGGAGTCTCGTGAGGTTTTGATGCAGGAAAACTTTATTGAGGTAGAACAGGGAAAACTCAGGAGCAGCCAGTGGAAGGGAGCTGGTCTGAGGTGCAAGCAGGGTGACCATCAGCCAAGGCCTCTTGCTTGTAGATGGTCTTGCCAGAGCATCAAGGCCTTCCTGCCCCACAGTGGGAGCAGCCAGGCAGAGGTGCCCAATGGTCGCTGGCTTGGGAGAAGGGATTTGTCCAGAGGGAGCTGGACAGAGCCGAAGGGGCGATGCAGAGCAGGGAGTGGGAAAAGAGCAGGAACGGAGATGGGCCATGTTTGCAGGCAGCCCGGGCTGTCCCCTTGGCTACTGCCTTGCTTGGTGGCCTGAGAACAGGAGCTGGAAGTGCTGAGCCAGTTTGAGAGCCTTGGCCCAGAAATGTGTCCTCAATGCCTGAGATGTGTTCCAGGGATTGGGTGGTTGGTGTCAGGGGTGGTGCTGAGGGCCCTCAGCAGTTGTAGCCATAGCCCCTTCTGCCATAGCAGCCCAGGCCTCCCAGCCCATAGCCAAACCCACGGCCGTAGCCAAAGCCACCAAATCCACCAGAGATGGGCTGTCCCTGCACACTGAGCTCAGTGCCCACGGCAGCCGAGGAGGTGGATCCGACAGCGGTGTTCTGGGGGAAGGAGGTCATGATGGGTCCTGGCAGGGTGACCAGCACAGGGGAAGGGTCGATGATGACGCGGGAATCCTGGCATTGCAGGGCACAGGGCTCGTTGCAGCTGTTGGCCAGCGGGGTGGGTCCGCAGGGCTGGCAGAGGGTGTTGCAGGCCATGGGTGTGGTGTGGGGGGTGCCTGGAAGAGAAGGGGTGAGACAGGAAAGGGGTGTGGGGGTATGAGGGATGGAGGATGTGATACAAGATGGTGAGGGAATGTGGAGGCTGTTGTGGGGCTGTGGAGAGGTGTGAGGGCTGCTGAAGCTGGGACTGAGTGTGCTTGAAGAGAGAAGTCAGGGGTGCAGGAGCAGGAGGGTCAGGGGCTTGAGGCTCACCTGGTTGTTGGTGCAGGAGCAGGAGGCGTCAGGAGAAGTGTGTGAGGGACAGAGGCTCTGGGCTGGCTTTTATGCTGGTCCTGGATGGGGTGGGACAGCTTTGTCCCATGGCCTTGGGGTATTTTTAGGCAGGAGCACCTGCCTAGCCCAGCCTTGTGAGTCATGGGTCGTGTTTTCCTTCCTGATATTCTGTGATTCCATGCCATCCCCTTGAGGCTGTGTCCATCTGACCTTGGCAGAGGCTTTTAATTGGGAGCAATGCAGGCCAAGGGTTTGGTATTGTTTTGACTCAGGAATGCAGAAGATGCAAACAAAGCCGAGAAGAATTTGGCTCTTTTCTCCTGTCTTCAAATGACCCCCAGCCATTCCTGTTGGCCACACCTGTTTTCATGCGGCCCAGGATATGGTTGTTTTTCTGGGCTAAAAATTCACATTGCTGTGTCATTTCGGTCCACCAGAACCGGCATTTCTTCTCTGTGGAATTGCTCTCAAGGAGTTCCTCTCCAAAGTTGTGCTCATGTTTGGGACTGTCCCAACCCAGATGCAGGACCATGAACTTGAAGTTGTTGAACCACAAGAGGTCCTTAAGTTCTCAACATTGCTAGTGTCCATCCTGATGGGATCCCTCATTGATCTTGTATCAACTGCACTGCTCTGCTTCCCAGCACCTACAAACATGCTGAGGGTGGTCTCAATCTCACGGCTCATCTCCTTGATCAAAGTATTCAAAACCACCAGTCCAAGGCAGAGGCCTGGAGACCTCATCACTGGTCTCCACCGGCACAGAGAGCCACTGACCATCACTCTCTGTCCGCTCCTCATCCATTCATCAGACCACCTTTGAACCCAGGTGCCTGCAGTTCAGAGATAAAGATGTTCCTTGAGACTGTGTTAAAGCCCTGACAGAAGTTCAGGATGACACCAGTTGCCCTTCCATTCGCAAGCAAAGTATTATAGCCGGGAAGGTCCTTGAAGTCTTGATGGAGCATAACTGGATCATGAGGTGGATATGCACTCTTCAGAATAAAACTCTCCAGCAATTACCAGGAGAAGTAATGTAGGAGAATAAATACAAGCAGGCTGAAGGAGTTGATGCTCCTGTCCCCCACCACTGTTGGGGCTCTAGAGTGGAACAAGACATGGACATTGTTGACCAAGAGCAGTGCAAGGAGACCATGACAATGACAATATTGGGGTGTCCTCAAAACGTGGAGAAGCTGAAAGATCTGTGAGTTTCTTGAGATTGAAGGCAAGAATGCAAATGTGTCAAGTCATCAATATGGCATGACCTCACTGATGACTCTCAGGTTCTCCTTAACTTTGGTTGAATCTTCTACATGTCTTGATAGATGTCATCAAAAAAACCCACACTGGTCTCTAACTCTCGAATTATGAGCTGCATGGACACAAACAGAAGAAGACATGACACTGCAGAGCATCAGGAAGGAAAATATTCCCCAGCTCGTGACTCACCAGGATGGGCCAGGCAAGAGCTGCTGCCTAAAAAATGCCCCAAGGCCATGGGACAACGCTGTCCTGCCCATCAAGAACCTGCATAAAAGCCAGCCCAGAGACTCTCCCCTTCACACACTTCTCCTGACACCTTCTCCTCCTGCTCCTGCTGACAGCCAGGTAAGCCTCAAGCCCCTGACCCTCCTGCTCCTGCACCCCTGGTCCCTCTCTTCCAGCACGCTCAGCCCCAGCCTCAGCAGCCCTCACACCTCTCCACAGCCCAACAACAGCCTCCACACTCCGTCGCCTACCAGCTCCTCACCCCTGTCCTGCCTCACACCCCTCTCTCTTCCAGGCACCCTCCAGTCCACATCCATGGCCTGCAACACCCGCTGCGGATCCACCTGCGGACCCACCCCGCTGGCCAACAGCTGCAACGAGCCCTGTGCCCTGCAATGCCAGGATTCCCGCGTCATCATCAACCCTTCCCCTGTGCTGGTCACCCTGCCAGGACCCATCATGACCTCCTTCCCCCAGAACACCGCCGTCGGATCCACCTCCTCGGCTGCCGTGGGCACTGAGCTCAGTGTGCAGGGACAGCCCATCTCTGGTGGATTTGGTGGCTTTGGCTACGGCCTTGGCTACGGCCGTGGGTTTGGCTATGGGCTGGGAGGCCTGGGCTGCTATGGCAGAAGGGGCTGTGGCTACAACTGCTAGGGTCCCTCCACACCACTCCTGACACCAACCACCCACTCTCTGGAACACATCTCAGGCATTGAGGACACATCTCTGGACCAAGTCTCTCAAACTGGCTCAGCACTTCCAGCTTCAGTTCTCAGGCCACCAAGCAAGGCAGTAGCCAAGGGGACAGCCCGGGCTGCCTGCAAACATGGCCCATCTCCATTCCTGCTCTTCTCGCACTCCCTGCTCTGCATCGCCCCTTCGGCTCTGTCCAGCTCCCTCTGGACAAATCCCTTCTCCCAAGCCAGCGACCATCGGGCACCTCTGCTGGGCTGCTCCCACTGTGGGGCAGGAAGGCCTTGATGCTCTGGCCAGACCATCTACAAGCAAGGGGCCTTGGCTGATGGTCGCCCTGCTTGCACCTCAGACCAGCTCCCTTCCACTGGCTGCTCCTGAGTTTTCACTGTTCTACCTCAATAAAGTTTTCCTTCATCAAAACCTCACAAGACTCCTTCTTCTTTCTTCTCTTTAGACACTTTGAGACTAAGCCAATGCTCTTGGGGCTGTTGGGATTGTTGGAAAAGTGCTCCAAGACCTCTTTTAGGAATTATTTCCCCAATTCCATTACCCACTGGTGCACTTTGCTCTTCCATTGCCCCACAGCAACTTTTCAGTTGCTTGATCACATGCCTGGATACCCCATCGCAGGTCTGTCCGTGACTCTGCCACAAGGCCCTCCTGGCTGGTGTGCTCACTTTGGCTGGGCACCAGTTCCTCCAGACCCTCGTCATCTCCTAAAGCCATTCCCAGATCTGCTGGAGGAGGCCCACGTCTTCCCTTTTTTTGTGTCCTCGGGGTGGGACACACAAGTCCAGCCTCATCAGAGTGCAGCAGAAGGGCAGAATGTGCTGGCCAGGCCATGGGGTGATAACCCCAGGACACGGGGGACTTTTGCTCAGCTCATTCACGTGGCCAGGACACATCCAATTCTTCATCCACCAACACTCCAAGTGCCTCTTCTCAGGGATGCTGGTAATTAGCTCATACCTGTTACAGTGAGCTCATGGGCACTCTGTGACCCCTTCCCCGGGACTCTGAGACTCTGATCAAGATAACCCTGGATCCCTCCTTCCTGCCCCAACGAGGTTGGCGGAGAGCCAGGGAAGCCCACCCTGTCCAAAGTCTATATAGACCCCTGACATTTCCTGTTCGGCCTCTTTTGCCCCGCTCTCCACAAGGACATCACAGAATAAAGAGAGATGAACCAACAATCTCGGTGTAAGAGCCTCTTTTGGAAATCTTTGCCATCTCCTGATATTCCTCCCCTCACAGCCTGATCTCTGAGCTAGCCTGATTATTCAGGGGGCTGTGTGAGGGGGGGAAGGTCAATTACCCATCCAACATCCATTATTGGGATTGATCCAATGCAAGTGCAGGACCTTCCTCTTGGCCCTGTTGACCTTCTTGAGCTTCTCACCAGTCCATCTCCATAGCCTGTCCAGAACCTTCTGGAAGCCATCCCTTCCCTCGGACCATAAACCACACCCCTCACGTTGGCGTTATCCCCAATGTTGCCAAGGGGACACTTAAACCCACTCACCATATCCCTGACAAAGATGGGAAGTTACAATGGTTCCAATGTGAATCCCTGTTGGTCATCACCAATCCTTGTTCTCCACACTGGGTCATGGAGCCAGTGACCACAACTTTTGAGTGAGACCATCCTGCTCATTTCTTATCCAGCTAGAGGTCCAACCATCAACTCCAGCTTAGAGACAAGGATGTTGTGTGGCACAGGAACAAAAGTTTTGCACAAGTCGGGGTGGAGGATACTGGTCCACCTTCCCTCATCCCATTGTGGAACCAATACCAAACCATTAAAGTTATCACCAAGGTCAGATGGACATGGCCTCAAGAGCAGAACGTGGAATTTCAGAGCATTTTGAAGAAAACATGCGCAACCTCATGACTCACCAAGCCGTGCCAGGCAACAGCTTCTGCCTGGAAAATGTCCCAGTGTCATGGGCCAAGGCTGTCCCAAACCTTCACCCATGGATCATCCTCAATGCCATACTCTTGACCTTCTCCAGCAGAGTCTTGTTTTCCTTGTTCCCAGTAACCCAGAGATTAAAAGTTCTCCAATATCACCAGAGCAGAGGAGCAGAACCTGCTGCACCTGGATTGGAGCAATCCCAAACAAGCAGGATAAAGGCTGGGCGAGGAGGGGATTGAGAGACGGCCCAAGGAGGAGCACTTGGCGTGTTGGTGAGTGAAGAACTGGCTATTGGATGGGATGTGCCCTAGCCATGTGCAGTCACTGACCAGAAATCCCCCAGTGTCCTGTGCTCATCCCCACAGCGTGAGCAGCACAAGAGAATGGGGGAATCTCAGCTTCTGCTCTCCTGTACTAAAATCAGAGTTCTGTGCTGAACTCTGAGCCCACAGAGACAAGGAAGACGTGGACCTGCTTCATAGGGTCTGTAGAAGGGCATGAAAGAGGATGAGGGACAGAAGCAACTGCTCTCCAGCAAAAGTGAACACACCACCCAGAGAGGCTTGGGCCAGAGGCAGGGATAGATCTGTCTTAGTGTATCCAGGTCTGGGATTTAGTAGCTGAAGGGTTTGTGGGATGCACTAGAAGAGTAAAGTGTGCCAGTGGGGAGTAGAACTGGGAAATAAATAATAAAAGAGGTCTTGGAGCACACTTTCACCCACCCCTAGTGAACTCTGAAAGCCTGGCTGAGAGCTGAGTGAGATTGGAAGGGTCTTGGGATCAGAAAGAAGAAGGACTCGTGATGCAGGAAAAATTTGTGATGCAGGAAAACTTTATTGAGGTAGAAGACTGAAAGGCCATAAGCAACAAATGGAAGGCTGAAAGGCCAGGCTGAAGTGCAAGTAGGATGACCAGCCAAAGCCCATTGCATGGAGAAGGTTTTGACACATCATCAGTGCCTTCCTGCCCCACATGGTGTGCTGGGGGCCCTTTAGCAGTTGTAGCCATAGCCTCTTCTGCCATAGCAGCCCAGGCCTCCCAGCCCATAGCCAAACCCACGGCCGTAGCCAAACCCATAGCCAAAGCCACCAAATCCACCAGAGATGGGCTGTCCCTGCACACTGAGCTCAGTGCCCACGGCAGCCGAGGAGGTGGATCCAACGGCGGTGTTCTGGGGGAAGGAGGTCATGATGGGTCCTGGCAGGGTGACCAGCACAGGGGAAGGGTCGATGATGACGCGGGAATCCTGGCATTGCAGGGCACAGGGCTCGTTGCAGCTGTTGGCCAGCGGGGTGGGTCCGCAGGGCTGGCAGAGGGTGTTGCAGGCCATGGGTGTGGTGTGGAGGGTCCTGGAAGAGAGAGGGGGTGAGGCAGGGCAGGGGTGTGGGAGTGCAAAGGGCAGTGATGCAGGAGAGCGAGGAAGTGTGGAGGCTGTTGTGGGGCTGTGGGGAGGTGTGAGGGCTGCTGAAGCTGGGGCTGAGCGTGCTGGAAGAGAGGGACCAAGGGTGCAGCAGCATGAGGGTCAGGGGCATGAGGCTCACCTGGTTGTCTGCAGGAGCAGCAGGAGAAGGCGTCAGGAGAAGTGTGTGAGGGAGAGAGGCTCTGTGCTGGCTTTTATGCTGGTCCTGTATGGGAGGGACAGACTCGTCCCATGGCCTTGGGGCACTTTTTAGGCAGCAGATCTCGCCTGGCCCAGCCTGGTGAGTCATGAGGTGGGGAGTGTTCTCCTTCATCCATTTCTGCAATTCCATATCTTGCTCTTGAGGCCCTGTCCGTCTGACCTTGGTGGCAGCTTCTAATTGGGAGTTGATCTTTGGGAGGATTTGACTGTTCAGTGTGTGTCAGGGAGGGGTGAATACAGAAGCAGCACCCAGGAAAGGTGCAATGTCATCATGTGGTCATTTTGTGGCAGTTGTCTTCTGTGGTTTGTGAGTGCTTTGTGAAGACTGGGACTCTGTTTTGGGCCACTGGACGTCCATCAGTCATTGTGCTGCACCCAGGAATGCTGAGGGAGCTGCTGATATCTTGGGGAGGTCACTCTGCAATAACTTGGAAAGGTCACAGTGCCTGAGAGCCCTTCCTGGCAGAGGAAAGAGAGCACCTTTCTTTTGTGTTTTAAATTATATCAAGAAAGAAGATCTGGAAAACAAGAGCCAATTCAGTGCTGAACTTGCTCCAGTCTACTTGTATTTTGAAATTTACACAATTTGCATGACAATATACTCTGTCATTTAGAATGTATTCCTTGACCTCATTCAGGAATCCAATAAAGAACAAACAGGGCCTGATCCCTTTTCTCGCAGTCTGGCCTGTGACATCGATTCCTTTTTTCCGCATTCAAGCCACAAGTCTTCAGAACTTGTAATTAGTAAGTCTTAATGGGTTGTTCCTGTGAGCAAAACCCAATAATTACTAACGGACAGCCAGTAAGCTCCTCTTTCCTTCTGTGTCATGGAGCAGTTGTTCCTCTGTGGAATTGTGCAATTTCATGTTCTGCTCCTGAGGGCATCTCCATCTAAACTTGGTGGCAGGTTTTAGTTGCAAGAATTGGAGACCAAGGTGTTGTTGTTGATTGTGCATGTCTTGACACATAGAAGACTCAACCCCAGCTTAGGATCCTGATTTGGGGTGTCATCACTGAGGTCATTCCATGGCACATTGACATGGCATATTGTCCCATTTGCATTCTTGCCTCCAGACTGAAAAAAAAAATCCAGCTCTCTCAGCTTCTCCTCATCTTAAGGATCCTCCACTCCCATCTGTTTCATGGTTTCCCTGCTCTGCTCTTGGCCAACCATGTCCATGGCCTTATTCCACTGAGGAGCCCAGTGTGGAACAGGAGGATCAAATCCCTCAACCTGCTTGTATTTCTTTTCCTAACCCTGTCCCGGTAACTGCTGTAGATTTTCATAGCCAAGGGTTTATGGCCACCTCATTACCCATTTATGGAATTTCAGTCCAGAGCAGCGACCATATCCCAGGCTTCAGAGTAGGTTGGGCCAGAAGGAATTGCTGGGGATTAGCTGAAGACATGAAACAACACCCAAATTCCTGTAGGCTTTGTTTGTCCCCACTACATTCAAAACAAAACCAGTACCAATCCCTCGGCCTTTTTTTCTCCCAACTGGTAAAGGTTAAATGGACACAGACTCAAGGGAAGGACACAGAAGGATGCAGAACATAAGGAAGGAAAATATTCCCCACCTCATGATTCACCAGGCTGGGCCAGCCAAGGACTGCTGACTTCAAAATTCCCCAAGATCAGGGGACAAGGCTGTCCCGCCCCTCCAGGACCAGTATAAAAGCCGACCAAGCGCATCTCTGTCTCAGACTCTTCTCACGCCTTCTCCTTCTGCTCTTGCTGACAACAAGGTGAGTCTCAAATCTCTGACCCTCCTGCTCCCGCACCCCTGGCCCTTCTCTTCCAGCATGCTCAGCTCCAGCTTCAGCAGTCCTCACACCTCCCCACAGACCCACAACACCCCCCACACTCCCTCACCCTCCTGCAACACCGCCCCTCACATCCCAATATTCCTGCCTCATCCCTTCTCTTCCAGGCACCCTCCACACCACACCCATGGCCTGCAACACCCTCTGCCAGCCCTGCGGACCCACCCCGCTGGCCAACAGCTGCAACGAGCCCTGTGCCCTGCAATGCCAGGATTCCCACGTCATCATCGACCCTTCCCCTGTGCTGGTCACCCTGCCAGGACCCATCATGACCTCCTTCCCCCAGAACACCGCCGTCGGATCCACCTCCTCGGCTGCTGTCGGTAGCGAACTCAACGCCCAGGGACAGCCCATCTCTGGTGGATTTGGCTTTGGCCTTGGCTACGGGCTGGGAGGCCTGGGCTGCTATGGCAGAAGGGGTTATGGCTACAACTGCTAAGAACCATCATCAGCACTCCAGACATCACCAGCTCAGGACTCCACAACCACTCTTGCAAGCCAATCTCCTCAGGTCATGGTCGCTGTACTTGCCCCTTACATGGATTCCTTCCACTTTTTTCTCCCACCTCTTCATTCTTTTCCCTAAATAAACTTTTCCTGCATCAAAGTCTGAGATGCCTCATGTTCTTTCTTAATTCCAGTGTCACATCCTCACTGAGTACATTCCACAGCTCTGCATTGGCGTACATGGAATAGACCAAAACCACCTTCCCTCACAAATATGTCAAAATAACCAATAACAGCATGGGAGGTGAAGGAGGGAACGCCTTGCAGAATCTGTCACACATGCCTTAGCTGATACACCAAAGCCTTGGACACATCAATGCTCTCCTGGGCACAGCTCTGGAAAAGTCTTTCCATGCCAGCACACACTTGAAAAACACTCCTACCAGGAGGTCTCTTGAACCCTTCCAGCAAACTGAGGAACTACATCAACCACTCTGGCAGGAAATCCGGAGTGGAAGTGCTTCAACTCCCCTGCTCAAGCAGAGTCAGCAAGAGCCGAATTTCCAGCACCATGGATAGTTCAGTGTTCGCCCTCTCAGGACAGACACTCCAACACCTCTTCCACACCGTGGCCACTCTCACAATGAAAGATGCTTGTATTCTTTGCCCAGGGAATTCGATTTGTTTTCACTTGTGCCTTTGCTCTCTTGCCCTGCTCATGAGCACTGCTGTGAACAGCCAGACTCCTTCATTTCCTGCCATCACTGATTTGCACACACTAATGACACCGCCCATCCATCCTTGTCCCCTGTGAGTCCCAGCTCGGATTATCCTCTAGGAATGATTCTCCAACCCCTTTGGAGTCTTCTTGTCCTGAACTGGTCTGGATTCACTAAATGTACTTCATTATCACGCTGGGGAGCCCAGGACTGCCCACAACACCTCACATGGGACCTCACCAGTGCTGAGCAGACAGCTCACTTCTCCCTGCTTGGTCATACACTTTTCCCAATCCTAACCTGGACACTTGGGTTCCCTTTTCCCACACAGGGACACCGGCTGCTCCATTCCTTCTCAACCACAACCACAAAACGAAGGCTTTTTCATAGAAGAAAACAATTGTTCCAACTGATACCCAGGCACTCCTTCTTACCTGGGATGACTCCTCCCAGCAAACAGCCCTTGACAGAACCCCATTCTGCCCTGACAGAACCCCATAAGACATCCAACACCTGTCGGAATCTGTGGGTATTGATGATTCCGAGATTGTAGAAAGTCTCTGTCTTTCTGCCCTGTTGCCAAAGAAGAAGTCATAATCCGTCTGTGCTGTTTTCAAGGTTGTTTATTCTGTTTATCTCTAACATGTTCTGCTGCCCTGCCGCAGGTCTGTCCTGCAGGGCAGCGTGTGGGGCTCTGCCCCCAGTGGGATGTTACAAACATTAAATACCACAAACTACCTGTGTTATATTTGCAATAATGTGCCAATATCTGTCATCTACGTTGAAAAGTGTGTTCCCAGCCTGAACCAACAGAAAAATGCCAACACTACAGTTAAACATGGAGGGCGTGAAGAAGGAGGAAAAGGACAAGACACACCCAATTTCCTCCATCTTGTCCCCTTTGGACCCCTAATCTAGAATCCCAAAATTTTACTTTTGCACCCGTGCTACACTTAATTATTACTCATATCAAACACTCAGGGCTTGTAATTCATTCTGTAAGATTGAAAACTCTTTTCCATGGACAGAGATCACAGACAGTGTCTCTTGGGGCTCTGTACAGAGGGGTTCCTGACCCCCTGCCGGGGTCCCAGGCCCTCCAGGGCAGCCAGAGGGAAGCCCTGGATTCCCACAAACACCTGTCAGGTTTTCTGTGTTGGCCCAATGGATCCAGCTCCTGGGTTACAGCACTGGGGGCTTGCTGCCATCTGGACTTTGGGACACTGACCACAAGCCTCCAGGTCCAGCCCTTCAGACCTTTTTCACACATCCACACTGGGCACTGACACAACGCGGACTTGCCTGGGCTGTTTTTGAGGATCATGCAATGCTCACTGCCAACAATCCTAGGCAGACTCCAAACCTCCTTCCAACAA